TAAATGTGGATGCTATTTAGTTTTATATTATCCATGAAATAATAGAATGTCACTGGCAAGATAGTCTATGAAAGTTTGAATAATAAGTTATTTTGACTTTCCAAAAAAAGTTGTAATTTTATCTTTATTATTTTTAAAATGCACTGTGATTACATTCTTGGAGCACTTACAAGTAGGTATTTTAATTAAATGAGTATCAATGTTAGTCCATCAACATTAGACCTGGCAACATTGAGTGGCATCAAATATTAACTGGAAGCCATATTTCTATTAGCAATAAGCAATACTAATAATAATAATATACAAATAACAATCAAAAGCAATCATTGTCTGTACATTCACGCATACCTACTTTATTGAATACTTTGCAAATGAAGAAACTGGTTATTAGAAATGTTTGCTCATTATTTATTCAGCCAATCAAAAGATTTATTGAGTCTTTTAAATGCAAGCAGCTGCAAGTTATTTAACCTAGCTAAAAACTGAGTTAACAAAGTTCAGCACCAACTATCTTCTCTCAGTGAGTAGACTAATCCTCATTTGGCGAAGTAGTGGATGGTCAACATAAAATATGTCTTAAAAACCCTAACTTCTGCATCTATATACAAATTCTCTTTGATATTTTTGTAAGTACTGCTTTAAATATATACCTACTATGTATCATAGAAATTGGTACTAGGGATAGAGATAAAATTGAAATTTTTAAATACATTTAAGCACTTTAAGATGCTGGCATATACTAAGTGACTTTCTTAAATATATTTAAGAAAAGGTTTTATTAAATACTTTAGGATCCGCCAAATTAAAAGTAATGTGACCTTCCAAGCATGAGTTACTAAGTTCTATCTGAGAAGACACAGCGTTTAGGACTTTTTATATTTCTTATAAATGATGAGATCACGGTGTTCTTTCTCTCCCCTCCCCTGCGCCTCCCCATCTCCCTCGGTTTCCCCCTTTTTCATACTTGTTGATATTACGTGTGTTAACTCATGCTCTGGCCTGTAGTTTGTACACTGACTGAGGCGATTCGGTACACGGCACATCTTTATTCTTTTCATCTCCACACCCCTCATCCTACTTCTTTTGCATCCTTCCCTGTTGCCCTTTTCTTCCCGTCACCCTTTTATCATTTTCTTTGTTCATACTATGTCTCGCCCAGATGAAAGATATCGTGGTATGCAAGCTTGTGTGTTTTTATTTCACTCAGTGTTATATTTTCTGGTGTTTCCATTTTCCTGCAAATATCTCAAATTTATCATTTTTAACAGCCAAGCAGTATTGCAATGTACACAGACTGAGCTGAAACATTGACTTCTCTGGGTTTGCAGTTTGCAGATGGCATTTTTCAGAACTTTCAGCCTGTGTGACTGTGAGAGCCAGTCCCACATATACATGCACACGCATGCACACATTCTGTTGATTCTGTTTCTCTGAGAATCTTGCCACCAATACAAAAGGTTTTTCCTACTCTTTTCAATAAGAAGTGATGTAGAAATTGGCTGAAGGGGAGATTTGGTAATTTTTCCAAACTTAAATGTAAAAAAAAAAACTTTGTCCATCATCTGTTTTGTAAATCATTTCACTAATGTTACTTCGTACATATGATATGACCTTTAACCACCATGCAATTTTTATAAAAATCCAATGGAAGCTGGCATTGTGGCAGGGTGAACAGGAGAAAGGGGGATGATATTTAAATAACATGCCCCACACTCCTATCTTGATGTCATGATTCTCATTGTATCTCCTTTTTAGCATAATTTAATTATATGCTACATTTTATGGGTACTTTAGGTCTCATGGAGTGAATATTAGATGTAGTTAAAAGTTTATCACCCAAGAAAGCATATCTATCTTTTATTTTTTATATATTTCAATTTTTATATTCTATGGCTGATTTCTGGATCTAATGATATACTAAGACATTAGAATTATTTTTGTGGTAACTGTGTAATACCCTTCATACTCAGATATTAACCAACACCTTAAGAAAACAATTATGTGAAACCTAGTATTATATTTCTTTCAAGGATGTATCACTGTATCACTTAGAGTCTCACTTTTTAAGAGATGTGTTATTATTAAGTTTGAACAAATGTATCTCTTTTATCAACCAATTTATGTTTGCATTGATAGTGTGAGCTCTGCAGCAAGTCCTATTTCACACTTTGCTTTGGCTACCACCTTCTCTTTACAGTATACAGAAAATTACGACTGGTTTTATGTTTAAAAAGTCTATTGGCCTGCACAAAAAATCTATTGGCCTTCCTAATCCATTGGCCTGCACAAATCTAATCTTGCTTTTACAATGTCTCTATGTATATTTTCCTTCAGTTCTCTTTTGTAGTGATTCAATATATGTGTTTGAAAAGTGTCTTCCCTTAAAAAAAAACATGAAGCAGTGTAAAATAATTTAGTAAATAGCATTTAAAATATAAAGAGTAGGAGAAGGAATAAGTGTAGTAGTCAGAACACTCATCTAATGTCAGAAAATTGGAAATAGGAAGGTTTAATGGGCAAGCAGATGGGACATCCAGAAATGGGTAATATCTGAATGCCTAAGTTGGCAGATAGGTAGCCCAACTGCTGGTGTGTGTCTTCTGACTTTTAAGAGCACTTAAGAGCTGTTACACAAGCTAAGAGAGCACCCAGATGGCCTCATATTTGGTGTTTCTCCTTTTTCTTTTTTCTAACCTAATGAAATCTTCCTATTTTAACCAGAATTATATTTTTTTAAAATAAAAGCATAAATATGTTTCCATTATATTCATATTTCTGGAATGGTTTCCAATTTTAATTAGAATCAAGTCATGGGAATCAATTTGTCCCCTCGGTGACCTCAGATTTCTAGCATGGCTCGCGTTTTTGCTGCTTAAGCAGTAGTGCACAGACTGAGTTAGGCTGTGAGTTAATTAATGGTAGTTTGCTTCCTTGCTTTTGTACCTGGTTCTTGCTTTCTCTTCCTGTGGATTTCATTCCACATGCCGCTCTCTCTCAGTGCTGCGTTTTCCCTGGACTTCCCAGTCTGGACGACAGTACCAGCTGTAGATTGTGGGAACACACTGTACTTCTGCTTGTTTTAGAAATATCTGTGTCTCTGGACCCAGCGTGTATTATAGCCATCAGAAATGTAATTCTCTTATATACCACCACGTTTTTGTGCGGATCACTTCGACAAACATCCATCTGAATGGAGTAACCGTCCGCCTTGCCTTGGGTATACGTAGGTGATTATAAACATAACTTATGCATCTCCTTAAGATAGTGAGTCAGCTGTCTCTTCTTAAAGAGAAGATCTTCACAGATATTCTGAATGCAGTCTGTGAAAAGTCACTTGAGGTTTAATGCTGTGATTATTTTCTTCTATGATGTCAGTAGCAATTTATCCTTATTACTTTATTGTTTGTGTCTTCTTCCTTCCAAACCAAGGCATTGCTGAGATTTCAACACTCCTAGAACTATTGCCCAGCCTCTGTATTTCCCACTAACTTCCAAATATCTTCCTGCTCTCTCCCAGTACTTTTCACATCCTCTCCAAGCAACAGAGAGGGCCTTTCTTCCCTGCTTATCTTCTCTGCCTACTTTTATGTTGAATTTTGACTGTAAGCAACACCAGCCAGGAGTAAATATTTTTATATAATACAGTTTATCCTAACACAATAACAGATACTCCAAATCAAAGTATTTCATAAAGTTATTGCAACCATAAAATGAACAAAGCTATTACTGAATTCATCTGTTTGCTCTCACTGAAAGCAATTTTAAAATAAATCATGGATTTTATACTGTGAGCGTCAGAGAAATAGACTTACAAAGACTGTGTGCCTTGGCTATGTCTTATTTTATAAAAGATCCATAGATTGCAGCTTTACTTTACTTGCATTTCATATTAAAAGCTATTTTAAGCAAATATGAAGTCTTGAAATTAATATGAAAAAGTTTTCTCTCTCTCATTTGACTTTGGATATAATTGCAATCCCACTTCTGATGTTGAGATATTCTTACCATCCTATCCTAACCTCCTTGTAATTTTGATTGAAGATCAGTTCTGTTACTATAGTTACCGTTTTAACTAACATAAAATGACAGATACACACACACACAAGTGTTTCATGTGATATTTTCAGATGTGTATACATCGTATGTGGTTAAAACAGCAAACATATACACTTTAATTGAGGAGAAAATCTTTTATGTATATTAATTTCTGATTTAGTTCTTTGGAGGGTAATTATGTGACTTTTCATAAAATTCATATTTTGCTTTGGTTATGACTCTCTTATCCAGAAATGTCTGAGGACAGACACTTCAGGATGGTATCACAGAAAGGCTAACAGTAATATTATAAAAACAGGAACTCTAGGATGGAAATGTTTTATTCAAAATTTAGGCATTTTAGAAAAGTGATGAGATGCTCAAAACTAATATATTAAAAGTAAGAAAATTCAGAAAAAATATATTTTAGCAGCATCAGCATATAATGAAGATTTAAGTCAATAAGAGAAATATAGTAAAATAAAATCAGTTCTTCTAGTCTGAGGAAATATCCATATTCGAGTTTATGAGTTGAAAAATGTATTTAAAAAGTCAATCACAGGTTAGGATAAAAAATGAAGAATATGCAGTCTTAGATAAAAAGTATCTTTTTAGGAATGAAAAGTTAGAAGTGGTGATAAAACTTCTGTTGTTAGATTGCAAGAACTAAAGACAATAAACAGTAACTGGAAATTTAAAATGCTTGTTCATACAATGTGGATGCATAAGCCACATTGAAAAGATTAACAAGAGAATAGCTTATAAGAAACTAAAACTACTTGGTATAGAATACAAAACTAAGAGTTTTGCAGGAAAAAATGTTCATATTTCTGCTTTCAAATGCTGATTATCTTAACCCCATCACTTGAATTTATTTCCACAAGTGACTCTTTTTCCCTTTTTGTCTCCTGATGTCTGAAGTGAATGTGTCTGATCAGAAGATGCTTTTATGTTTCTGTGCCCAGGCGGAGACCTACACGTTGGAATCATAAAGCATGAAATAACTTCAGGCATAAAAAGTACAATCAAAAGGTACCACAGCAAATATTCATAACAGTGTTGCATGATTTTCCTGTTTGTGTGGAGCATAAAGCCCATTTTAGGAATTGTGTAAAAATCTTAAAATACAGTCAATCAATTCAAGAGTGTCTATGTCAGACTAATGAATTCAGACTGCTTGGCAAATTATATGCTGTCAAGGAAGTAAGCAAAGCAATATTTCATTGTTTTCAGAAGATTAATTTGGCAGCAATCAGTAGAGGAGAAATAAAAATGCGATCAATTAAACTCATTAAGAGGTTTTTGTAACAGTGCATTCCAGATATTTCATGAGCCATGTCTTTTTATTCCTAGTGACAGTAATATTGAAAAGTGGTGAGAGCAGGATGATAATATATGTACTGTGAAGTATTTAGAATTGTTTTGTAGAATATTTTAAGAAGAATGTGCTCTTATATGTAATCTCAGATGAATTTATTTTATTTCTTAGAATTTTTATTATTTATTTATTTATTTTTGTACTGGGGATTGAACTCACAACCTTGCACTAGCCAGGCAGATGATTATTATGTCACTGAGCTAAATCCCCAGCCCTCAGATGAAGAATTTTTATTTAACAATATAACTAAAAAATGTAAAAGTAAGTATTAATTAAAGCTAATTGTAAATACTGCTGTTAAAATTAAAATAATCACTTGAAATAATACACGCCACCTTTTAAGCAGGCGTGCTGATGCACACCTGTAATTTTAGCCTCAGGGACTGAGAAGAGATTCCACGTTCTAGATCAGTTGTGCAATTTAGCAAGACCCTGTCCCCAAATATATATATATATATATATATATATATATATATATATTAGCTCAGCATGCCTGAATTTCAGTTCCTATTATGAAACAAAGAAAGAAAGAGAGAGAGAGAGACAGAGAGACAGAGAGACAGAGAAAGACAGAGAGAGAGAGAAGTGAGGGAAGGGTAGAAGGAGAGGAACCAAGGAAGGAGAAAGGTAATGTAGGGCATGATACTGACTTTGTCATAGAGGGGCAATCTTGTGAATATATATTATCTATGTTTATTTTTTAGTGTGTTTCTATTGATGAATTATTGATCTAATTTTGTGAATTTTATCATACTAAACAATGAGTACCTAACAGGAAAATGTATCAAAAAGTAAAGTTTTGAATTTTTAATAATTATTATTTATGAAAAATTTCAACATCTACTATTTTCTGGTATACAAAGTCTAAAAAATAATTGAAATAAATTCCTTCATGAATTACAGTGAAAATTTCAATATAACTCTAACAAAAGTTCTTTACTTCAATTATCATACCGAGTTTAGGGGATATAGCTCAGCAGCACAGCACCTGCCTGGCATGTACAAGGTCTTGAATTTGATTCCCAATACCATAAAAAAAAAAAAATCACACGTAAGACAGTCTTCATACATAACAATAACATGTTCTATATACACTTATCTCTTGAACTGGTAGCACATGTATTTTGTTCACCTGGCCATTGTCTAGGATGTAATTAACATTGCTGATCTTGCTGTTTTGTCAGGAGGTTCTTATTGTATCATACAGTGTAAATTAACAGGAACATAAAATACCAATAAAATAAGGTATTGAATTCTTCACAGTATTGCATGTTTAGAAAAAACATCAATATTTTCATTTTACATGTTTACATAACATCAGAGATACCATCAGAAATAAGTACTCATGGGAACTACAATGCAAATACATATAAGTCTCTAACAGAAATAATCTTTGCTTCAACTCTCACACACAAAGCAGTCTTCACACACAAAAACTGTATGTTCCAGACATCAGTATCACTTATACTGGTAGCATGTATATTTTTTATCCTGTCCTTTTTTATAGGATACAGACAACATCTTTTTGGTTTTCATGTCATTATATAGATCTTTGTAATTCTGTGCCTGCCTGTTCACTTGTCAGCACCAGTGTGTTCCATAGTTTTTTTTTTTTTTTTTTGCATAGTTCTCTGGGCAGAAATATGTAATTTTTCCTCAACTATAAATGATCTATTATGTGTTCTTTGTAAAATATTAAAATTGTTTATACCAAATGTTTTTAGGATCCAATAAAACACAACCATTAGCCAATACTTTGTGTTTCAAGTGGCACTTTAGTTGTTGCCTAACTCACCAACATCTACTCTGCCTTTGGTATTTTTTTTTAAATTTTTATTTAAGGAGGAAAAGAAAAAAAATTGTTTGTAGGAAATCACTAGTTAACAGATTATATATTGTCATCTTAGAAATAGTTATTCAAGTTACAAAATTAAAGCATATAAAGTGGACATTCAAATAGTGAGACTGCAAACAGTTCTGTTCAGTGATCCAAGAAAACTCAGTGATATGGTTATCTATCTTATACACTTAAATATACATGCTGTTAGGTCCTTTAGAGCACTTTCTTTTTGTCTCTTTTGTATAATGACAATTACACATTTTGGGTTTTATTACTCCCAGTTCTTATTACTTTTTTTTGAAGAGAATAAAACCAAATGTGACATAACAGCAGAGTCAGTCAAATCAAAAGGATGGACATAATACATAATGTAAAAACAAAATACAAGGTGATCAACAATGGTTACCATAATGCCTCTTGCTATCTTAAAAAGAATCGCCTATATCATCAGTTATAATAAAATTGAACAAAACCATAAAGAACAAAACCAATAAAACCAAAACATTGGAGACATTAGAGCACTTCAAAAGAATATAATAGTCAACCAGAATGGGCGTCATAATGAATCTTATTGTCTTCACAGTTGTTGCCTATAGTTTCGAACTTGGTACTATCAAGCAAAACAGAATAGAGGAAAATCAGTCAAAACAAGATGGTGAGAGCGATACAGGGTTTCAAATCAAGTTAATAGGAAATTGAAGCGGGTTACTATAATATATCCTGCTATTTTGTATTTTTCCCTTAATTAAAAGGTAAAAAATGAAAAATAATAAAAAAAAAAAGGAGATTGAGATAAAAGAGGGCATAACAACAAAACATCGCAGGTCAAAACATAACCATTTAAGCAAAATAGTGTTTCACCACAAGATAATCCCAACATAAAAGCAGTTACCATAGTGTCTTTCCTTGAAATCTTTGAGTATAACTTCGTATACTGTAACATCAAACATATCAAGACAATGTAAAACTGTTCAAGAGAATGACAGTATTACAGGGTATTTAGAATCAACTAACAGAAATGAACAATGGTTTTTGTATAATCTCTTTGTCTATAAAAGTTTTTGTTTATATTATTACATATAATAAAATCCAATAAGATACAACATGTTTAGACTGATGGAGACAGAAGAACAAAGCTTGATGGGACTTCAAAACAAGATGATATTAGATCAGCACTAGCTATTATGTTGTCTTGTTTTCTCCAAAATAGCTGTTGCTACCATCCAACCTTCTCTGCCTCATTTCTGTTGAGCTCTTTTTCTGTCATTAGTTGTCAGTTTGTCTTCTTCATTTCATTTTCTGCTCCATTCATTGTGGCCTCTCTGCCACTGTTTCCGGAATCTTGATATTTTTCTTTTTTAGAATATCCTGCAGTATTCTCTATAGAGTTGAATTGGTGGTTGCAAATTTCCCTAGTTCCTCTTTATCCTGGAAGCACCTTGTTTTTCCATCAGTTTCTAGGGACAGTTGTGCAGGATATATCAATCTTGGTTGGAGGTTATTTCAAAGCTTTCAAAGCTTGAATTATTTCCCCCCATGCTCTTTGTGATTTGATGGTTTGTCCTGAGAAGTCTGCTGTAATTCTGATGGGTGTTCCCTTGTAAGTGATCTGTTCTTGTCTCTGACGGCTTTTAATATTCTTTTCTTATATTGGATTTCTGGAGTTTTGCTTATTATATGCCTGGGTGTAGCTCTGTTTGGGTTGTAGGTGGCTGGGGTCCTGTATGCCTCATACATCTGAGTATATTTACCTTCTGCTAAATTAGGGAAATTCTCCTGGATTATTTCTGTGAATAACTTTTGTAGCTCATTTGTTTGTCTCCCTACTTCTTCAATTATGTCCTTAATTCTTAAGTTATAGATTCTCTTATCATCTTCTAGCCTTTGTATTATTGCTGTTTGTTTCCTTGTTATTTTTAAGAAGTTTTTCATTTCATGCTCCCACCTTACAAATGTGTCCTCCAATTCCGATAATCTGTCCTTAGTTTCTTTCAAGCTGTTATGCCAGGTTTCAATAGAGTTTTTAGTTTCCTGGTAATGTTTTTGAACCTGCTTCACATATTCTATGTTTTCTCTATTTTCTCCATCAAACAATTCTCCCCCTTTTTTTCTGTTCTTCCATTCCACCATCTTTTTTTTCTTGGGTGGTGCTTAGCATTTCTCTAACTATTCTACTTATATCTTGCTTTATTTCATTAAATACTTCACTTTTGAACTCGTCTATGAGGCTCTGGAGATATCGCTTTATGTCTATTGGTGCAGTGTCTGATATTGCATGTTTTTTGTCCTCATTCTCCTTTGCATTTACCTTTCCTGGATCAGTGTCCTTAGCACTGGGGACTGAGGACCCTTTCTTGTTGCTCCCTCTTCCCATACTTTTTGTTCCTTCCATACAAGCATATATAGGAGGCCCAGTTTTTTTTTTTTTTTTTTCTCTTTGTCTGTTACAGTTTGTTTGAATCTGCCGGCTAAATATTCCTGCCCATTGCAGTGTACTAGGGAGACACAGACCTGAGTAGTCTCTGGTGGGCCCGCCCCTCCATGTCAACCTATTGAAGGCTTCACTGCTAGGGTGCACAACCAGGCGCTGGGACCTGGTTTGGGCTAGCCTACTGGATCTTAGTCTGTGGTGTCACCCAGGGCAAGCACTCCCCACCAATCCCACTTAAGAGGGGAATATGCGACTAAAGTCACTGCAGCGTCCTGTTGCCTCTAGTCTGCCTAGTCTCAGAATGTCCTCTGTTGGAGTCTCTTAGTCTTTGAAAGGGTCCCTGTTCCTCTCACTCACCACATGTGGATGCAGGGTTCCCTGCT